CCGGATCAGCTTTTTTATAAAATGCTCATCTAACGGTACACACAGTCACCTCCACAGTGACGGTCTACATCCACAGAAGGATCAACAAAGTTGGCAAACCTTCTGGACCTCTGCTTTCAGTTGATCAGTATAACAGTCAACCTGACTGTCCACAGCAGAGTATGCCACATTCCAAGAACCAAGAATGTGTTAGCAGATACACTATCCTGTCCAATGCGGCCATTCTCAACAGACTGGATGCTACATTCAGAGATCTTCAAACAGATCATATAAGAGATGGTTGAACCTTTAAGAGACCTCTTCCCCACAAGGGTCAAGTGATAACATTCGCCTCACCAATACCAGATCCACGGACAGGGGGCAACGGACATCGCGAAGCATCTCCTGCCTAGGACTAAACACTTCGTGTTTCTCCACCAGCTCTAATACCTAGGGTATTGCAGAAATCAGTCAGGCGAGAGACCCACAACTATTTGGGGCACGCTTTTGACCAGCGAGAATATGAATTCCTATTCTCATACAAGACCTAGGACTGCCTCTACTGCAACTACCAGAGTGTACTGAATCTACTAGTACATCCTCACACAAAGCAGGCGACGGCAACCCGGAGGTGTTCCGCTACACGTGTGGACTGTATCAGGCATGCTTGAACAAGAGAGGATATTTCGCCAGAGCAGCGAAAGCAGTCACACTAGCTTTACGCAAGTCTTCACACAACTTGTCTGACGACAAGTAGAGACGCTTCGAGACAAAAGATACGTTTTGAGGATCGGCTTCACAGCCATGAAAGTGACACATCCTCAAGTGGCTGACTAGCTTTGTCACCTAGACAAAGGAAGCGGTTAAAAGGGTCAACACTCTCAACATACCTAGCGGCATTGAGATCAGTTATCGCCATGAGGACGCCGAGTGCAACTGACAAAAGTACCAGAGTTACTGGCCTTACTACGCCCTTTAATTGGAGGACCAACATCAGAGATTTAAAGCTCCGGTATGGGACCTCAGCGTTGTTCTATGACATCTCACTAGTGACATCTACTTAACCATTACAGAGAACATCATTCGAAGTTCTTGACGCAGAAAGCTGTTCCTGATAACCTTAGTAACAGCAGCAAGGATGTCGGAAATACATGCTCTGGATTTGAGAGAACACGATTTGATGCAAATCAAATATCGTGCATATGGGACTGAGATGGGACTTCATAGCAAAGAATCAACTGCCAGGTCATCCAGACAGACAGTTCCACGTCCCAACACTATCATCAGCCCTTGGATCACCGGATACGCAGGTCTTATCCTTGTGCCCAGTACGAGCATGGAAAGTCTACCTACAACGATCCAGGTCCATGAGACGGAAATTCAAATGTCTTTCGTCTCAATATCAACAGCGGCACAGACGAAGGTCTTCCGCGACTAAGATATCAAGCTGGATCAGAACTGTCATGCTCACGGGCCTACAAAGCAGCAGGACTGGATCCTCCAAGAGCCTCCAACCCATGAAGAAGAGAGCTCTGACGTCAACGCTCTCTATACTTGGGAATCGCTCTATCAGGACGATAATGGAGGGCTGCTTCTGGAAATGGGACATGGTGTTTGCCAACCACCACTTGAGGGACATCGCCACTGAGGACGACTCTTACATTCACCATTTCGGCCCACTTATTGTAACACAACAATTGACAGTCCCACTAAGGCGCTGAGACGGAGTCTCGCCCTTTTTATCGCATGACTTACTAAGCTTACACTCAGCAGAGTTCTGCTTAAATCATGATGCACGTCTAAGAACTAGCATAAGTGATATGACCCAGTACTTGTAAGGATACTTGTACAGGAATGGGTCGCTTCTCCACTTGGTGCTTGCATCAAGAGATAGAGTCGCAAAATCCACATAAAATGTTAACAGAAGAAAGGACCAAAACTTAACTATTGTGGTCCCCCCATTTAAAGGCAGCTGGAAGGTCAGGGTCGCAACAGCAGCAGAGTTTACCAGTAAATACAGTGCCATTGCGAAGTTCCCGTAGGCGGGTATATATATGACGTAAAATTCACTAAAGAAATCCTAAAGTGCTTTTCCCACCACCTTTTCCGTCGGATTCTACAAGCAAAAGAGCATGAGTCAGAATAAGGAAAAATATGTAATTTTCTGAATAAAATTGATATTTTATACTTATCCTGACTCATGAGGTAAGCCCACCCAGCCTCCCCACTAGACACTTTGGATTTCCCTGCAAATTCAAGTGTCGGGCTCATAATCAGGAGAGAGTGAGGCATGTGGGCACGGTGGCGCCACAGTTTCCCGCCTAAACGGCTGGAGAGATAACTCTTGGTAGGAGTGATTTTACGTCTATTCTTTTTTGAAGGGAGCTTCAATAGGAGATACAAGTGTTCCACTATGTTCGCAAGAAGAAGAGAAGACAAGCAAAAGAGCATGAGTCAGGATAAGTATAAAATATCAATTTTATTCAGAAAATTACATATTAGGGGATTACACTTTCTCCATAAAGTACAGATTCTTGTTCTTTTGTTGGGTTGAGTCCCAGCCTTCCGTAGCTTCCACTGCGGTGGCTGTGTTGGTAAGGTGGCTGACTTTGTGTGCTGGTGATTAGCTGCCTGAGGGTGTGGGTTCAAATCCCGGATGGGAACCAAAAGTACTGGAATCTGTACTTTATTGTGAAAGTGTAATCCCAAATATAACGTGTGTTATATAAATGTCCATACATCGCAGTATTGCCTTGCAAGCAGTCGACTTTTCCATGGGTTTTATATCAACTCTTTTTACATTTTGTTAACTATCATCAGCTGAGATTGTTGGTCTGGAAGACATTTTGCTTACAAGGGCTTCAGATAGGTGGCTGAAGACATAGATTGTAACAATGATTTTGTTGACCAAGATATTTTATGGATTTAAGCTTCTTTAAAATTTAAAATATCTTGGTCATCTATAACAACTTCTAAATGGCGTTAAAAGACATAAATGATTTTGTTGTTTTAATGGTTGTTATTTTTCATTGTTTCAAGATCCGATTAGTGAGGACCCTAGTACAGTGTTTGACTTGCTGATGATGTTGATGCTCCACCAGCAGCACGTGTTGTTCATGCTGTCAACCACTACTTTTGTAAACCCCAGGCTCAGTTATCCACAGGCCACCCAGATAAAGCTGAAAATTGGCTGACTGGAACATTTAACAATATTTAGTCATAAGTAACATCTTCTGACATTTATTTGGTTTATCAAATCCTTCAACAATTGTGTCAGATTAGACCAAATCAGTTTTTTTCTTGTTTTACTGTTAAGGAAATTATGCTGGGATACAAGAAACAAACAATACAGTCAGCATTAAGTGATGTTAATTGGCATAGAAACATAAACTTCACTTAAAATGTTTTAATGACAGGTGCCACCGGTGGGGCAGGATATGGTCACCTTTTTGCGAACACCTGGTATCATCACTATTTCATAGTGATTCATACACACATGCTCTGTGATCATATCAAATGGTGACAATCACTGAATTGTCTGGTTCAGACTCAATTTGTTTACAAACAAAATCGTACAGCTGTAATACTGCTGAAACAAATATATGTTCATGATATAGTCACAATTGTACAATTGACTCAAAGGATTTTGTCGCTTCTATTCTATTGTATTAGCCTTTTGTAAACTGTAGGCTAACATTAAAGGTCACATGCAACGTAAAACACAACTTTGCAGATTCTGATACCTTTCGGTATGGACATATCGAAACAAATCGTCAAAAATGCAAATTCAACTTATAAAGTTGAAAAATAACGCGATGAAAATAAACGCCGTAAATCGGGTTCAAGCGTTTCACTAACTTTCCCAGACTTTTCTGGGGAAAGCGGGTTTCAACAACTGGGCTCTCAAGCTCATAGCATGTCGCAAGTAAATAGGTTCACAAGCTTGGAAGCGAGGTTGTCGGGTGAATACTGGGTGAAGGCTTTGGTGTGAGCTATTTTCTAATGTTTTGTTGATATCTCACAGGAAGTGAGCTTTTTATATGTTATGACAGTAAATTAACTGTTTATATAATTTCATTTGTCTATTTCACCACACGTTCTTCTTACGAGACACTTTCTCAATTCGATGCTTAAAAGCAATGTCATTATTTAGCGTTGACAGAATTTCTAACTGTGATATAGATATGTCGTTGTCACAGACAAAACTCAATGTCTTGTTTTATTGACACCTGTGTGTCTGCCTGCTTGTCTGCTAATGACAATATTCAATACACAGCTGCTATCACTGACCACATGCAATTTGAACTTAACACCAATCAGGCTATACACCATAAACAAAATGCATTGATTTATGGCCCGAGTTCGGTCTCTGTCACATTATGTAATTACACAGACAGGCAGGTGTGATACTTGAACACATGACATGTTATGATGTCTGTTGATTGCAAAATGTTATACGCAAAAAATGAGCATGTATTTACACACAATGAGCAGTGAAGGCATCTGCAAATGAACCAGCCGTTACACTTGAGTGCACACCCACCCGCTCTGACTGGGTTCGGTATCCCGGCTGCTTCGTTTCTTGGGGAGTAAACCGAAGTACACAATTTTGCACTTTCTATTTGCGATTGTACGCTTATAATTTTGTTTATATATTTTTTCGTAACCAGCAATGTATATTATATGTCATGAATAAGTGATAATTGTGTTTTAATTATGTTTGATTTTTTGGTTGCATGTGACCTTTAAGAAAGTTGAATTTGAGAACGTGATTTTCTTTTAAGATTTGTATACTATTGCAGAGATACATTTTAAAGGAAAAACAAATTAAATATCAGTGAATAAATTACAAACTAAAACTCCAATTTGAATGATGCTGCTGAAATGTCCCCGATTTAAACTGTTATTCGGGAATGATCAGTATATTCAAGAAAATACCTTTTGTACAATTGGGTATAATCAAGCATGTTGGAACTTTGACATTTAGAACACTCAGTATGATCTTATCATTATATTTTCAGAACAACCTGGCTAAGAAGCGGGATCATATGCGCACAATGAAACTACCTGAGCTACGAGAACTAAGTGAGGGAGATATGGCTCCCCCTGAGCTCCTGACGTTATCAGAGAACACACTGACCCCACCCCCTCCATCCCAGGACTCAGTCACGCCAAGTTTGCCTGATGAGTTCCTGGAGAAACTGGGTCTGAAGATGTCATCACCTGATGAGAAACTAGAAAAGTAAGTATAGGTCTGCTGTAAACTTTACATCATGATGCTGCCAGGATTCTCATCTCAGGAAGAAATTTGACATCTATTCAGAGTGCAGTTCCTTTGGGTAATCCTGCATTTTTGTTACCTGTGGAACAGCATGAGTCATTTTTCCACTGACCTGTGAAAAGTGGCTTTGTCAAACTGCTGGTGATGAGTATTATGTGCCTTCATAGAGATATCATTAATGACTGATGGTGTATAAGAACTATAAGAACTATAAACTATAAGTTTATTGCATTTAGAGGCCAGAAGGCCTAGAGTACAGTTTAAGGTGTAAAGCTATCAAATAACAACTATAAGGGCTGTAGTCCCATGAACTTCTGGCATAAAACTGATCCTTGAATGATCTCCCTTTATCCTAATTCATTCCATTTTGATCATTCAGTTGAACTTGACTATTCTCTTGAATTGGGTTTTACCATTTTCTTGAATTGGGTTTTACCATATATATTATATGTGACCAAAATCAATCTTGCACCAGATAAGCATGGTCTGTGTATGAGTTTTGTCTAGGTAGTCCAACAGGCAGGGTACAAAATACAGAGTCCTGTGTGTTGATTTAGCTTTTAGTCATGTGCTGTGACATCATGACTTTATTATCTTTAACAAGTTTGTCCACAGCATGGCTCCCCAGCTTGCCTGATCACACTTTGAAACCAGAGAACTGACATGTGCATTATTAATGGACCCATTTTATTCACTTAGTGATTGTCATAGACGTTGAAGACTGCAGCATATCTCCTGACATTTTGGATAATATAATATTCTCTATTATCACTTTCCTGAACAACCTTCCAATAAGCCTCTGTTTGAGTGAGTGAGTTGGGTGTATTGGCCCACTAAATAAAGGTTTTCTGAATTTTCACTAATTGTTCTGGCATTAGATTTCTGTCATTGTTTGCCTTTAAGACCAATACCAACTGAAGCTTTAGCAAAGGAATTGGGGATGTTATGTCAGTACCTATTACCAGGTCCTTAGTATCCTTGCTCCAAGGCTGTACTGAATGCTCATCCCATAGTACATTTATTTTTCCTTATCCTGACTCATGCTCTTTTGCTTGTCCCCTTCCTCTTGCGAACATAGTGGAACACTTGTATCTCCTTAATTGAAGCTCCCTTCAATGTAAAATCACTAATTGGTACTCACCCACGAGTTACCTCCCCTGCCGTAAGCGCGGGAACAGGTGTCGCCACCCTCTGGCCTCATGCTTCACTCTCTCCTTCTTCGCCCAGTGAGCAGGATGTGAGAGCGCCTGTGTCTCCTTACACACTATATCCTTTGGTTTTTCTTAGTTAGTTACCTTTTATAGTTTACTATAAAGGTATAGCTAGTATCCTTCAGTTATTTGCGTTAATAATTAATCATTATTTCTACTGTTTATTCATTGAGTTAAGTGATTGTTCAGCTAGTTTTACATTGATGAAAAACTGTACTATTTGTAGATTACGTTTTCGCTGCGCGGATCGCATGTGGTATGCCCTAGTTGTACTTCTCGCTTAATGCGTTTGACTCCGCGATTGCAGTTACTGCATAAATTTAACCAATTCTGCCTTTGATAAATACCATCTTTGCGTCTTGAGGCGTGTTGCAGATAGGTCACGCAAACTAGGTGTAGACATGGCCCGTCGTCGGATTGCCCATCCAGTCAACTGCTGTCGAAAGTGATCCCCTCCCGTCTGGTGTTCTGCTTGAGACCCCATCGGAAGAGGGGCGTGGGATGCAGTCCGTCACCTCTAAGAAGCGACCGGCCTCTCCAGACATCCAGTCATCGCAGACAAAGTCCAAGAGGCCTCAACGTCTTCTCAGCGCGAGACTTCGTACCCCAGGGCAGCGTCTTCCTCCAAAGGGAAATCTCTGAAGTCATCGAGAACTTTCTCCAGGCGAGATCGTTCCAGCAGCAGAATTGGGCCTCTCACGATGACCAGCCGATCATCATACCGACATCATGCCACAAGAAGGCGACCAGTGACAGCGACAGTGACGTCAGCAGAGATCAACAAGCAGCCTGATGCCTCTACACTGATGTCAGGCGAGATCGCTGAGGGCCCCACCGCTAACACAGCAGAAAGGGCACCATCTACTCACGTCGCAGATCATCCCAAAGCGATCTTATGAAACAGATCATGATTATGATGGAAGGCCACTATAGACTGGAGAAAGCAGCCATCCCAGGGTCCGAAGCTTCATGAAGGCTCCAACGTGAGACAGCACCCCAGGGCACCATCTGTCAGCGTAGCAGCCCGCGACAATGCAGCCTTCGCGAAGGAAGTCACAGACCACCTCGACGAAGGACCCAGATGTACAGCCTTGAGCGAAGGCCTTCGCGGGAAGAATCATCACCTTCTACCCCGGTCATACTCAGATATGGAATCTGATCACCAGACCACCGCAAGCCTTCGCCCGAAGGTCATATCATCGTTCCCCAGGACGAGGCCTCTGTCTGGCTTATGCGAAGCGTTCGCGAAGGACACACCTGAACCCAGATGCGTCTTCATCTAAAGATCAGCAAAGGGACTACACAAGAGCTTCGCTGAAGCTATCAGTCCCCTCATAGATCGCCAAGAAGGTCAACCTATCGATATAGATCACCAAGGCGATCACCTCGGCCGATCACCACGTCCGATCACCTCACAGGTCTGCACATAAGCCTACAACTAGATCTCCACAAAAGCGTCAAAGCGATATAGATGAGAGCCACACAGCCCTACATCAGAAGAGCAACAACCTCTTATCTATGATGATGGAATGGAAGATGATGGAGAGGACTATTTTCAGATGCAGAGATAAGATATTGGATGACCAGGCGATGAGTTGCTATGCCAAAGTCATATTTCTTTTCCACCTGTAAACTAAAATCATCTTATATTGGTCTAGGTTTTCTCAAGAAGTGTTGGCTACTGTTGTCATGAAATCCTAATGTTTTTCGATTCATACCATTCACTCTCAGTATTGGTGTATAGGTCATCTGATCCATAAAGATTGAAACAAGTACCTTTGTTTTAGATAGAAAACTTTATCTTCGATCCTTAAACAAACAAAAATGCTGTAATGCTAAAGTTTTAGAGTTGCATTTCAAAGATCGTCATCCTTTTCCTTCTATTTGTTGTGGTCAATAATCTGGAGGTATTTCTCAGATGCAGAGATAAGATGTTGGATAAATTCAATATTCTAAGACTCTCTCATGGCAATAGTGGCAATAAAGGATGGTCAATATCTCTGATGGCCTTAGATGCTATTACACATCACCCCCAATCGACCGATTGGCGATACCTCAGAACATAGACTTATCTGATGAAAGAAGATGAGCCACAATGCTATTCAGAGCGCCACAATGGGCAAGCCCGATTAGCGGTACCTCAGAACCTAGATACAGCATTTAACAAAGCCACAAGGTTTCAGACTTCACATCATCTGCCAACTTCACAAGCGCCAAGAAGTTCTCCACGCATAATATGGAACCCTTCTTCAAAGCATTAAGACATCGATGAGAACTATAAGCTGATCTCGATGCAAGAACAAAGTACTACAAGATTGATGATGGAAATTGGTTCAGATAGAAACTACACGAGGCGAGGTTCTTCGGGCTAATTACTTTGCAGTGTATGCCTATTCCCATGGACGGAAGTATCTGTAGGCTCACATTTCCAAACTGTAACTTTGTCTGGTACTGCCAGACATCTCTCCTGTTTACTCTAGTCTATATATAATGAATCACTGAAGCTATCACTATTGAAAACTAAATTTCATTTGAGATGAATCCTTAAAATTAGAAGAAACCATGGCCAGTATGTTCTTCGGTCTAAATAGATCTAGAACAATAAATGAGACACTTATCTCCAGATTTGAACACACGACCTCTGAAGATGACAGAATGATTTACTTTCGGCCCTACTGATGCAAAAGAAGGACCAGCAGTTTTTAACAGATCATCTGGCGTCTGTCTCAGCAGCACTGACCTTAGCTCGTCGTCAAGGCCTCCTAGCTTCCTGCAACTGGGGTGAGAACTTTACAGCTCCACTATATACAGCCCGTGGTCTTCCCCATCCATATTTGACGGAGGAATAGACACAGTCTCCAAAGAAGTCACCAAGGATTCTAGAGAAGTCCTGATGATTAAATCGATGGACACGCTAGCCAGTGTCATTCGACAGACTTCACAAAGATACTCAGGGAGATCTAAATTCACGGGCCTACAAAGAGCTAGAGACAGGAAGATTGCCAGTTCCAGGGAAGAGATTCTTTTAAAGTAGCCCATATGGCAACTATAGAGGAGGGTCAGGGCGAGGCAGGACACCCAGAGGTTCCCGCAACTATAAAGCTGAAAGACAGGTTCGAACGACTGGAGTCTTCCACCCCAGCCGTTCCAGTACAACCGTCACAAGTGGGTGGGCGTCTTCAACTACACTGGGAAAACTGGGGAATACTTCAAGACACCTATGTCTCCAACATTCTTCAACGCAGTTTAGGTATCCCACTACAGGCCAAGCCTCCACTAACAGTCAACCCTCACAAGTTCGAGGTAGAGGCACAACAACTACTAAAGTTAAAGAGGTTACATTACTCCTAACCAAGCAGGCCATAGAAGTAATAGAGCAAGGAAACATCGAACCAGGTTTCTACTCCCCAGTTTTCCTAGTACCCAAGAAGAACTCCAAGGAGAAATACAGACTCATTTACAACATGAGCTTATTCAACAAGACTTACTTAAACAAACCACCCAGGTTCACTATGATACATCTACGCAGCTACGGCAGATGATTAAGCCCCATGGACTACATGGGCAGTATAGATCTACAAGATGCTTATCTGCACATCCCAATACATCCGAATCAGGAAATACCTTCGGTTTACGCTAGACGGGTTACATTACCAGTGGAAAGTACTCCCATTGAATAGCATCAGCCCCATGGTTATTCGAGGGATAAGCGAAACCGATTGTTATCTATCTACATCGTCAAGGAGACTC